GGACACCGGCACGGGGGCCATCGGGGGCATGCTGTTGTCCTCGCAACGCAGCGGCCGCAGCTTCTCGGCGCGCATCCCGCAGCACCTGTGCGCGGAGCTGCTGAGGGTCGGCAAGAAGCAGCGAAACACACAGTCCGAGTTGCTCGCCGTACTGGTGCTGCTCCTCACCTGCCCCGACGAGCTCCGCGGGGCCCGGTTGATCCTCTTCGAGGACAGCGCGCCCGCGCTTGAAAACATCCTCAGCGGCGCCGCCAACGACGATCACAGCAAGGACATCGTCGGAGCGATCTGGCTCCTGCTGGGAGTCCTCGGCGTAGAATTGTGGATCGAATGGGTCGCGTCCGAGAGCAACCCCGCGGACGCTTTCTCGCGACCTGGAGAGCCGGAGAAGCAGGCCGAGGCAGCGGCACTGTCCCGGCGCTACAGCCTCAGTGCGGCAGAGCCGCGTTTCCCCGCCTCGTTCCGCATGGACGCCGGGGCTTGGGCAGCTGCCGTGGCGGCCGCCAAGGAGGACTGGGCGCGCAACGACCGGCGACGCCGTGCCCTGACCGCGCTGCGCTTGGGCTCTGTGGACGCAGGCACCCTCGCGGCGCTCCTGGGCGCGATCACGTTCGACTCGGATGACAAGCAGGTCACGCTCGGGTGGCTCCGCACCCGCCGCGCCGGCGTCGTGGCTGCCGCGACGCAGTACCACACTGAGCTGCTGCGCCTCTCGTGCGCTGCAGCGCGGCCGCACGCCCGCGCCCACGGCACCACTGCCGTGGCCCTGCGCCAGGGAACGCCGCCGCGGGCGCCGCCAGGGGCCGCGCGTTGCAACGCGGCCTGCATCGTTCGAGGAGTTGGCAGCCGAGGCTCTGCGACCATCGACTGGCTGCAGTCCGTGCCCACCCCAGAGACCGCGAAGCTGGACGCGAACGACGTCGTCGTTGGCTTCTACGCGGTCCCCATCGACGGCATAAAGGAGCGGGTCCGCTCTGCCCCGCTGCGCAAGCTCGGCCTGGACGTCGCGCGCGCGGGCCCTACCGCGCTGTCGCGGCTCGCCGACGCGCGCCGCTAGCTGGCGCCCCCCCCCCGGCTGGCTCGCTGGAGCAGCCGCCGCAGCGCCGCGCCTGGCAGGGCCGCGCCGACGCCCAGCACGGCGAGCACCCTGGAGGCGCTAGAGGCTACATACGGGGGGGGGCGCTCGCTGCAACCAACGCAAAGGGGGGTTGCCCCCGTCCCCCGCCGTCCCCGGTTCGCTTGTCTCCGCCCCGGGACCGAGCGGTTGCGGCGCACGCCCCCCCAACGGCAGAAGCCCGCGACACGCGGGGCAGGGCGAGTCAGGGGTAGTTAGAGTGTAGCGGCCAACGCTACAGGTGGCAGGCGGCCCTCACACTACCTGTGGGGGGGCGGGCCGGCCTGCGTATTTCGGGGACTCGACCATGTGATTCGGTGCCCCGTGGCGTGATTGTGTCGTGGCACCTCCCCCTTGACTTTGCCACTACAAGATGCGCGCCCCCCCTTCCCCTCTCCTCGCTCACCCTCTTCCCGCCTGGACACGTCCAAGGCCGCCGCCGCGGTGCCGCGCCGCGGGGCCTCGAGGCGTGCGGTGGGCATGGGACGCTGCCCGCCCTCCGGGGTGTCGGGCTGGGCCCGTAACCATCGCCGCCCGAGGGCCCGCGGTCGTGGCTCCGCGGGTCGGGGGAGGAGGACGTCTCTGGGCGGCGTGTGCGTCAGGGCCAAGGGGAGGTCAGGGGGTGCGCCGTCAGGTGGACCCCCCTCCACTGCGCCCCCCGCGGCTGGTTTCGCTTGCCCCGGCTTCGGGTTGGGTCGGGCCGGGCACGCGCGGCTGGCCGCGGGGGGGCGCGCGGGGGGGGGGTGAGCCTAAACTAACGCGACCCGAAAGCCGTCTGTCTCCTAAGCCGCGCCGAGGGCCGCGTGGGGGGGGGGGCCCTTGGAATTTGAGGCCCGCCCGCCCGCGCCATTCCAGGGCGGCTTACCCCCCCTGTTAGCGGCAAACGGTGACAGCAAAGCATCGGGAATTCGTGGAGTCGGACCCCGGGAAGAGTCGCCCCAAGTCTACAAGGCCTGGGCGGCCCACCCAAGGCTGGCACCCGGGCGGCACAGGGCAATCCAGGCCTGGCCTTTCGGCCCGCGTCGGCGGCCGGCAAGCGGACCGAGCGCGTTCTCGGCCCCGCCGGCGGCACGTCGCGGACGGTCCGTGGGCCCGTGGCGCGCCCCGGGCATTTAACCCAGGGCGGCCGCGAGTAATCTAAGCTGGCCTTTCGGCCCGCGGGGGCGGCCGGCAGGTGGAACGAGCATGTCCTCGGTCCCGCCGGCGGCGCCTCGCGGATGCTCCGTGGGCCCGCGGCGCGCGGTCGGCGGGGTACCAGTGCGTCCCGGCCGGCGCGCTGTCGCTGTGCGCATAAATTAACGAGGAGCCAGTGCGCCCTCAGCTGCGCACGCCAAGCAAGGCATGCCGTGCTGCCCCAGGCCAGACGGCCCAGGGCGGCTCGGGCCGGTCATGCAGGGCCAGCGCGCCCGCGCCGGCGGCCGGCTTGTGGACCGGGCACGTCCTTGGTCCCGCCGGCTCTCCGCGCCGAGGGCCAGCGTGTCCCGTGCGACGGTTCAAACACCGCGCGCCCGCCCCGAGGGGGGGCGGGCCGGCCTGCGTATTTCGGGGACTCGACCATGTGATTCGGTGCCCCGTGGCGTGACTGTGTCGTGGCACCTCCCCCTTGACTTTGCCACTAAAAGATGCGCGCCCCCCCTTCCCCTCTCCTCGCTCACCCTCTTCCCGCCTGGACACGTCCAAGGCCGCCGCCGCGGTGCCGCGCCGCGGGGCCTCGAGGCGTGCGGTGGGTATGGGACGCTGCCCGCCCTCCGGGGTGTCGGGCTGGGCCCGTAACCATCGCCGCCCGAGGGCCCGCGGTCGTGGCTCCGCGGGTCGGGGGAGGAGGATGTCTCTGGGCGGCGTGTGCGTCAGGGCCAAGGGGAAGTCAGGGGGTGCGCCGTCAGGTGGACCCCCCCCTCCACTGCGCCCCCCGCGGCTGGTGAAAGCATCCGGCACTGTCGCTCCAACGTTGCTAGGTGGCTGATGCCGCGCGCATGGCTTGCACGAACTATGGCCTATATGGCCGAGGCCCGCGCGGCGGCGCCAGACAGCGACATCCACCGACGCGCGGCCAGGTTGCTATACGCACTGGTCAAGAGACCAGCGCCACTCCGCTTTGAAGTGGATTGTTTTGACGCGCGGCCCTTCCAGGGCGAGGAGGAGCAGGAGGAGCAGGAGGAGCAGGAACAGGAGGGCGAGGAGGAAGAGGAAGAGGAGGAGGTAGGGAGAGGAGTAGGAGGAGGACAAGGCGGAGGAGGAGGAAAAAGAGGAGGAGGAGGAGGAGGAGGAGGAGGAGGAGGAGGAGGAGTAGGAGGAGGACAAGGCGGAGGAGGAGGAGGAGGAGGAGGAGGAGGAGGACGAGGACCAGGGCGAGGGCGAGGGCCTCGAGGAGGACCACGGCGGCGACGACGAGGCCGATGGCCCGAGCGCTGGCGCCCCTCGGCGTGGGCCGCCCGGCCCCCTCTGCGCCGCCCCCCCGCGCGGGATGCAGGCGCGCGCCGCCGAGACTGCCTGTGGCTTTTGCACCTGCTGCGCGCGGCGCAGGGCTCATATCGCAAGGGCTCCCACGAGGGCGCGAAGTTATTCGCGCTTCGCGGTCCTCGTTCCTTTTCCCCCTCCTCCTCGCCCTCCTTTTTCTCCCTTTGGGGTGGTGGCGCGTGAGCGCGAAGTTTTTCGCGCTTCGCGGAGCGCGAAGCGCGAAGTTGGGAGCCCTAGTATCGATTCCTCCGATTCGATTCGCTTCGATTCGATTTCGAGGGTTTCCGATTCCGATTCGATTCGACTTCGGATTCCGATTTGGGCTCCGATGTCTCGATGGAGGCCCACTAGCCTGCCGATTTCCGCCGGTTCGACTTTTCCCAGCTCGGCTGCCGATTTCCGCCGATCCGGTTCAGTTCGATCGCCCATCCGACTTATCGATTCGATTATGGGCTCTCCTGGCGGTGGGTCACAGGGAGGAGTTTCGGACGGGGCTAGGATGAGGATAAATCCGTAACAGAGCAGTCCGGAGCGCTCTCGGAGCGTGCCAGAACGCTCCGAGAAGGCCGCGGCGCCCGAGGCATCCTCCAGAGTCGCCGGCTCTCAGAGGTTTTCGATTTGTCCTCACGCGATTTTATCCTCGTCCTGATTTCGTCTTAGAGGTCCGCGCTTTCGGAGGTCCGTGTGGATCTCTTGAATCGCCGCTGGGACTCTTCACTGGAACGTGGAGCGCTCCAAGGGCGGTGCCGGAGCGCCTCCCCTGGGCCTCTCAGAGCCCTCCACGGGCGCCACGACTGTCAAAAGCAATTCGGGTCCTCCACGGGCCCCAGGTCGAAGAAGAAAAATGCATAAACATTCAAAACTGTCGAAGGTCCGCGCGGATTTCTCGGATCGGCGCTGGACCCCCCTGCCGGCACCTTTGGCGCCGCCTTTGGCGCGCGCCGCTCGCTAGGGAGAGGGGGCCCAGCGCCGATCCAAGAGATCCGCGCGGATCTCCGAAATTTCATGATTATACAGTGTTTTGGTTTTCTACGGGGGGAACGAGGATCGATCAGGGGCAACTTTCGGGGCGTGGTAGGCTCAAGTGGGGATGCATCGGCCCCCAATCGCCCATTGATCGCAGAAAGGGGCCCGATAGCCCACCCCGCCCAGGAGCGTGCGGATTTGCTATCGGGGGCATATCGCCGATCTGTCGGAAATGCACCTCCGATTCCCAGACAGAGTTTTCCCCCTGAGCCGGTCCCCCCCTATCGTTGCCCATCAGATGAGTGCAGAGCAGTGGCAGAGCAGCCGTGAGGTGATGGGGAGGGCGGGCAGTGGCAGGGCAGTGGTGGTACACGGCGCGAAGTCGCGCGTCGCGGCGTCAGCCAGAGAGTCGCCCTCCTTCAGGGTGGCATCGCGAGAGCGCGCAGGTTAGTAATCGCGCGTCGCGTATCCAGGGGCGCGGTGCGCGAAGTTCGGTGACCCAGAGACTCGAGGATCGGAATTCGACGTTCACGGACCGAGTTCTTTGTACGGCTTGGGCTTTTTCTGTTGTTGGCCTCCTGGAGGTTGTTGATTGGCCTTTCCGCCTGGATACCCCTCGAAATCCTGGGCAGAACGCGCCTCTGGAGAGGTCCAGGGCATGTTTTTGAAGTAGACGCGCAGGTATCGGGGGTCAGTCCGAACGGGGGTCAGCCAGTCCCCTCCGATCCCCTGGCCGTCCTGAGTTTGGGAGCCATGCCCCCCCCTGGAACCCACGACAACGAAGACAAGGATGACCAAACAATGAAGAGACACACACACACACACACACACACACACACATACACACACACACACACGCACGCACGCACGCACGCACGCACGCACGCACGCACGCACGCACGCACGCACGCACGCACGCACGCACGCACACACACACACACACATCGTTTTCAGTAACCACTATTGTTTTGTCTCTGGACCCCTGGAATCCTTATTTTTGTTTAGTGTGTCCGATTTCTGTCGTAGTACTGTGTGTCCCTTATTCCTCTTTGGGTTTGCTTTATTCGCGCAGTAGTTTGTTGTTATATCCATTAGTCATATGTTGTTTTAGTTGTAGTAATTGTTGTCGCTGTTGTTTGTTGCTGTTGATGATGTTGTTGTCGTTGTTGTTGCTGTTGCTGTTGTTGCTGTTGTTGTTGTTGCTGCTGCTGTTGTTTTTAGTGCCGCCTTTTTGCAGCGTTGCCCTTCGTGGCCCCGTTGCAGCCCTTCGTGGCCCCCTCGCTGCCCTGCGTGGCCCCATACATCTATGCTGCTCTTCGTGGGCTCCGCTCGTTCGCGCCAGTCGTGGCCCCATACGCAGGCGCCTCGTGGCCCCGATGCTTCCCTTTGTGGCCCCCTCGCTGTCCTTCGTGGCCCCTCGCTGCCCTCAGTGGTCCCGCCCTTGCCTTCTCCGGCCCAATATACGTATTCCCTTCGTGGCCCCCGCTCGTTCGCGCCCGTCGTGCCGCCATATGCATGCCCCTCGTGGCCCCGCTGTCGCCCTTTGGCTCCCTCGCTGTCCTACGTGGCCCCGTTGCTACCCTCAGTGGCCCCGTCGTTGCCATGTGTGGCCCCGCATTATCTGCCCTTCGTGGCACCCGCTCGTTCGCGCCCTTCGTGGCCCTATACGCATGCCCTTCGTGGCCCCGCTGTCGCCCTTCGTGGCCCCTTTCCTGCCCTTCGTGGCCCCGCTGTCGCTCTCGCTCTCGCTCTCGCTTTCGCTCGTCCTGACGTCGTCGCGGTCGGTCCCCTGTCCGTCCCTTTTGGGGTCGGGCTGCCGCCGATCGGCGCTGCCGCTGGCCAGGCCGACGGTCCGCGGCCGCTCCGCCGCATGCCAGGGCCCGGCCTGCAGGGAAGAAAGATGTACCCCCCAAAAGGGGCACGTTCGAAGACGAAGGTGGATATCGAAGATTTGGGAAATACACGTGGGATGGCACTCGAGCAGATTAGAGCGAATAGTATTAAAATGCTTGTTGTTTTTTTTGGTGTTGTTATGGTTGCGCTTTCACTATTGAATAAGAACAATAGTTTATCCCCCCTCCGGTGACCATTGCGGTTCTCAATTGAAGTGCCTCCCCTTGGGCTCGCACCCTGCTTTTCATCAGGGAAGTCATGGGGCTCAAAGTGGGTTGTTGTCCCCTAAGTTTAAACGACAACGGCTGGAGACATCTTCACAAGTTTGCCAGGCCCCCCGCTCCCGTCTTGAGATTTTCTCATATGTGATTCAGGAATCGCGCTCTCGCTGGGGACTTCCATACAAAGTATTCAGGAATCTTTCTCTCGGCGCTCTGGAGTCCCGGGCCGGACGAAAGGGGGGGATTGGGAAAGGGGGGGGGGAGACATTTGCTGCATGCAGCTGGTTTCGGCCCCACCGAGGGGCCCATTCCTCGATACATGGCCGCCTCCGGCGCCGGGAGGTGCCGGGAAAATCAGCTACGTGAGCTGATCTCAAACCCCCCCTTTGCTATCCCCCCCTTTCGCCCGACCCGAGAGTCGCGCTTTCATTGGGGACGCGCTTGCAATTTACTGGAGAATCGCGCTTTTGCGTGGGAGTTTCCCGCGATAGACTTAAACGCCGCGCTCCCGACACTCAGGCACCCAGGACTCGCGCTCACGCTTGGGACGCCCTCGCAGCTTATTTAGGAAGCAGGATCTCGCTGCCCTTCGTGGCCCCGTTGCAGCCCTTCGTGCCCCCCTCGCTGCCCTTCGTGGACCCGTTGCAGCCCTTCGTGGCCCCCTCGCTGCCCTTCGTGGCCCCGCTGCTGCCCTTCGTGGTCCCCTCGCTGCCCTTCGTGGACTCGTTGCAGCCCTTCGTGGCCCCCTCGCTGCCCTTCGTGGCTCCCTCGCTGCCCTTTTGTGGCGCACTTGCAGCCCTTCGTGGCCCCCTCGCTGCCCTCCGTGGCCCCATTGCAGCCTTTCGTGGCCCCCTCGTTGCCCTTCGTGGACCCGTTGTAGCCCTTCGTGGCCCCCTCGCTGCCCGTCGCGGCCCCGTTGCAGTCCTTCGTGGCCCCCTCGCTGCCCTTCGTGGCCCCTCTGCTGCCCTTCGTGGCCCCTCGCTGCCCTTCGTGGCCCCATCATACATTTATGCTGTTCGTGGCCATTGCTCGTTCGAGCCAGTCGTGGCCCCATATGCATGCGCCTCGTGGCCCCGCTGCTGCTTTTCGTGGCCCCCTCGCTGTCCTTCGTGGCCCGCTCGCTGCCCTCAGTGGTCCCGCTTTGCCCTTTGCGGCCCAATATGCGTATTCCCGTCGTTGTCCCCGCTCGTTCGCGCCCGTCGTGGCCCCATATGCATGCCCTTCGTGGCCCCGTTGCAGCCTGTCGTGGCCCCCTCGTTGCCCTTCGTGGCCCCGTTGTAGCCCTTCGTGGCCCCCTCGCTGCCCTTCGTGACCCCGTTGCAGCCCTTCGTGGCCCCCTCGCTGCCCTTCGTGGCCCTATACGCATGCCATTCGTGGCCCCTTCGCTGCCCTTCGTGGCCCCATCATACATGTATGCTTTTCGTGGCCACCGCTCGTTCGCGCTTGTCGTGGCCCCATATGCATGCGCCTCGTGGCCCCGCTGCTGCTTTTCGTGGCCCCCTCGCTGCCCTTCGTGGCCTCGTCTTTGCCTTCAGCGGCCCAATATACGTATTCCCTTCGTGGCCCCCGCTCGTTCGCGCCCGTCGTGGCTTCATATGCATTTTGCTCATCGTCGTCGTCGTCGTGGTCGGTCCCCTGTCCGTCCCTCTTGGGGTCGGGCTGCCGCCGATCAGCGCTGCCGCTGGCCAGGCCGACGGTCCGCGGCCGCCCCGCCGCATGCCAGGTTCCGGCGTGCAGGGACGAATGATATACCCCCCAAAAGGGGCACGATCGAAAACGAAGAGTGCGTGTATCGAGGGTTTGGGAACTACACGTTGGATGGCACTCGAGCAGATCAGAGCGAACATACTTACAATGATTGGTGTTGCTGTTGTTGTTGTTGTTGTTGCTGTTGCAGCTTTTTTTTTTGGGGGGGGCGCCTAGCAGTGCTTACCCCTGCTTGTGTGCCGTTTTGGCGTCTATGAAATCGCCGTCGCCGCCCCGTCTCCGACTCGTCGCCGCCCGTCGCCACGGGTGCCATGTCCTCGTCGTCGTCATCATCATCATCAGCATCATCATCCTCATCATCCTCATCATCATCATCATCACCATCGTTGTTGTCATCGCCATGTCATCGTCATCATCAGCATCGACGTCATGATCACCACTGTTATCGTCACCATCATCGCCACCGACTTCTCCACACCCCTTGCACGTTTCGTGGCCCCCCACACGGAGCCCCATCGAAGGCCTCAATGGCGGTGTTCGCATGCGTCTCCCCACCCAGCACAGGGTTTCGCTGGCCCCATCGGGAGCTCCCACCTAAGGCCCCAGTGGCGGTGTTCGCATGCGCCTCCCCCACCCAGGACAGCGTTTCGTGGCCCCACATCGAGTCCCACCGAAGGCCCGAATGGCGGTGTTCCCGTGCGTCCCCCCCCCCCCACGCATGACAGCGTTTCGTGGCCCCACATGGAGCTCCACCTATGGCCCCAGTGGCGGTGTTCGCATGCGTCCCCCCCCCCCCCACCCAGCATAACGTTTCGTTGGCCCCACAGGGAGTCCCACGTAAGGTCCCAGTGGCGGTGTTCGCATGCTCCCCACCCAGGACAGCGTTTCGTGGCCCCACATCGAACTCCACCTAAGGTCCCAGTGGCGGCTCTCGCATGCGCCTCCCCCGCCCAGCACAACGTTTCGTGGCCCACATCGAGTTTCACCTGAGGCCCTTGCGGCGGTGTTTGCATGCGTGTCCCCCACCCAGAACAGCGTTTCGATGCCCAACAAAGAGCTCCACCTACGGCCCCAATGGCGGTGCTCGCATGCGTCTCACCCACCCAGGACAGCGCTCCGTGGCCCCTCATCGAGCTTCACCGAAGGCCCGGATGGCGGTGTTCGCATGCGTCTCCCCTGTACAGGACAGCGTTTCGTAGCCCCACAGGGAACTCCACCTACGGCACCAATGGCGTTGTTCGCATGCGTCTCCCTCACCCAGCAGGACAGCGTTTCGTGGCCCCACATCGAGTTCCACCGAAGGCCCGAATGGCGGTGTTCACAAGCATCCCCCCACGCATGACGGCGTTTCGTGGCCCCACAGGGAGCTCCACTTAAGGCCCCCGCGGTTGTGTTTACATGCGTCTCCCCCACCCAACACAACGTTTCGTGGCCCCGCAGGGAGTTCCACCTAAGGTCCCAGCGGCGGTGTTCGCATGCGTCCCCCCCCCCACCCAGGACAGCGTTTCGTGGCCCCACATCGAGCTCCACCGAAGGCCCGAATGGCGGTGTTCACGAGCGCCCCCCACCCAGAACAGCGTTTCGCGGCCCCACATCGAACTCCACTTAGGGCCCCAGTGGCGGTGTTCGCATGCGTCTCCCCCACCCAGGACAGTGTTTCGCGGCCCCACAGGGAACTCCACCTGGGTGGAACGACCTGCGAAGCTGCGGAGCCCTGCGTACTGGGAAGCAGGCGCCGCGTCGTGGCCCACAGAGGGAGACACCCTCGCACATTTCGCGCCCCCCATACGAAATCTCACCGAAGGGTATACACGCGATCGCGGTACCTACAGCTGGGTCATTCGCCAGGGTATTTTTTTACGTTTGTGGCCTTTCTTTTTTTTGCATATGTTGTTTATTTAGTCGCCAGGGCCTCCTGGCAGCCACCCCGCCAGTTCCCAGCATTCTCTTGGGTATCCTGTATCATGTGTTTAGTATCTAGGCCCTCCAATTTTCTCTTGTTCAGTCGTCCTTATGTTGTGTTCGCACCCTCCCGGCTGCACCCCCCATGTCCTCTTTCCGCCGATTCCGGTCCGGGAGCTACGTCGTAGCCAGCCCATTTTGGCGTTGACCCGGGGGACGGAGGAGGAGGGCGACTGACGCTGCGAGCGCTCGCTTCAACGGCATGCGCAAGAAAAGGAGGGCGAGGAGCAGGGGGGCGACGAAATCTATACACATCCACTGCTCTCTGGCCAGGCCCATCCTGAACCCAGGAACTGTGTACACGCCCTCCCGGCCGAGCCAGGAAGGCGTGTTGTATACGCCTCTGCTGGGTTCAGGATGGGCCTGGCCAGGGAGCAGTGGACACGTGTAGATCTTGTCGCCCTACGAGCTACAACAAGGGGGGGACGGCGGGGCCCCAAGCCTACGGCATCCTCCTCGGATTCCCTCTTCCTCCCCGCGGGGGGCGGCGCCCGCCGGGTGCGCGGTGTGAAACCTGCCTCGGCGATTGTGCATGTCTGGGCAGGCGCTTCGGTGCCCGCCCAGGGGTGCGTGTGCGTCGGTGAGTGTAGCACGGCCCCTCGGGCATTGCCAAAACGTTCCATCACATTCCTCCCCGTGGGGGGCGCGAGGATCACCGCGCGTCACGGTCTGGGCTGGAGAGCTGCCCTCACGCCCCTCTCCACTCGGGGGAGCGAGGCCCCGCCGCCAGGCGCTCCTCGAGTTTACGGGCGTCGGGGGGCGCCGGGGGGATCAGTTGCAGGAGCCGGTTCGCGAGCCCCCCCTTTTTATTAATTCCCCCTTCGTCCCCAGACCCACTGGCGCTGTGAAACAATCACGACGGGCGGTTTTTGTTTTTTTATGTAATCGCTTCGCTCATTCCGCCGGCCCTGGAGCGCTTTTTGGGGCCTCTTGGAGGCCTCTTGGGGGCCTCTTGGGGCTTGTTGGCGGCGTCTTGAGGGCCCCTGGGGCCTCGTGGGGGGCTCTTGGGGGCCTCTTGGGGCGGGAGGGGGAGGTAGTCGATTGCGGCTCCCCCCTCGGAAGCCACGATTCTCGTGAGGGGTGTCGAAGAATTGCCCTCCGGGCGTTCTGGGGGGATCGCCCAGGAGTGGACCGGGACCTAGCCGGGGTACTTCTCGTCCGGGGGCCCCCAGCCCAGTGGCTGTGAAGTGCTACTTTTATGAAGAAGCCGCTATTCACTACTTTTTTGCATCACGTCTGGACTATCTGCGCTCATCATTGTTCGGGCTGGCGAGAGCAGGAACAGACATACATATGTATACACGCCGGTCGTTGAAAGTAGGTATTTTTGGATTTCCAGATCCCAATCTACTTCAAGCGCCTTCCTACTTCAAGAATCGGCACGGTTTTGCTGTGTTTTGTTGTTCCCTGGGGGGGCCTGGACCCAATCCACTATAACCGCCTTCCTACTTCATGTTTTTTACCTACTTCTTCCGACCGACGTGTAATGTAGTGCGTGGCTATATTATGCACGATATGTACAGTACGCCCCCACTGTTGCGGACACGAGTGAGGGGGCGGTCGGGCTGCCCTCGATGCCACACCGTCTCGAAGGTGTGGAATCGAGGCCGACTCGCCCCCTTCACCGTTATCCGCATGTGTGGGGGCTATCATTATTACTGTAGCTTGCGGAACAAGTTTTAATCATTCATAACTATTGCGATCGGTTTGTAACGATGCCGTCATTACCAATAGTCAGATTTTAAAAGTGGCGTCGGCCGGCTACTGGGAGGGGCCGCCGCGCGCGCGAACTAGAAATAGTGTTAGCCAGTTACCAGAGATTTTGGCACGCTTCTGGCAAGTTGGGCCGGCGAATTTTTGACCTCCAAGGGCCCTTCCCGGGCCTCGGGGCCGTAAAAAAGGGACTCAGGATAAAAAAACGATCTGGGAAGGGGTCCAGACCTCCGGGTGTCGACGTTGTGAAAGAATCAGATCACGACGTCGCGGGCTTGGGTCCGACATGGAAGCGTCACGCCCCATCGGAGGAGCGAGGGGCGAGGCGGGGCGCAGCGGGGCGATGCAGGGCACCGCGGCGCGTGCCCGGGCAGGCGAGGCGCGGGGCGTGCACCGCGGGTGTGCTGCTCGTGCTCGGGTTCGTGGCGCTCGTCTCGGTCACGGGCTGGCTGGAGTGGCGGAGCCTGGCGCGCCACGGGCCTCCCTCAGAGGAGCAAGGGGTCATCGGCGTCACCCCAGCAGGCTAATACTATGGGTTCGTCGCCTCCCCAAGGGCGACGCGCGCACCGAGAAATCTTCTAGTATATGCGTCGTGGCGGGCCCTTCCTGGCCACACCGCTCGGGAAACGATATACTACAAGATACAAGATGGGTATACCACATGTTCGGGTCGGACGTGCGCCTCCAAGGAGGACATAGAGTACTAGGATGTCTCTGTGCGTCCCAGATCATGGCAATGCCAGGTGCCAGGATTTCTCCCGATGTCCTTGGCTTCTTAGATGTTCTAATGTTCCACACTCGCTGCAGAAACGAATGCCGCTTGATGCTCCAGAGCTTCTGGAGCGTATCCCGAGCCAATCGTAGCATCACAACAATCGTGTCCTACTCGCCCACCCTCCCTCTTGTTTTCGGGTTGGATCAGCGGGGGTGGATAGGGTAAGAGGGCGTTAAGTACGACATCGTCTGCGTGCAGCTGGTTTTGACCTCCCCAGCGGGCGTTTTCCTCGATACAGTGGCACGGCACCTCTGGCGCACGGAGGCGCTGGGAGGCGCTTGGAGAATCAGCTACGTTAGCTGCTTCGCTAAACCACCGTAACTGAGCCCCACTCCGCCCACGAACTGTAGCCGAAGCCCGCTTTAGGAGGGAGCGGGGAAGACATTCTGCGCACTCCGCTCTCGTCTCCCTGCTCCCCGCGCCTCTCCATTCTTTTCTCTGCGCCCCACTCGCTTCGCCTCTCTCTTCGGGCATTCCTTCGGTCCCCCTCGTCGTGCTGAGGCTAGACATCCTTCCACCTCCAGTATCAAAATTCTCTGCGCTCCTCCCTCGGCCGCGCCCGGCCGCCCCCGGGGATCGCGCCTCGCTCGTCGCGGCCTGGGCCCGAGAGGCGTAGTTTTGGCCCCTCCTCCCCCCTCCCCCCTCCCAGGACACCAGGCCAGTTTTGGCCCCTCCTCCCTCCTCCCTCCTTCCGCCTCCAGAGAGTTTGCCTCGAGCTGGTTCGGTTCGGGCTCCGGCTCGGGCGGTTCGGCTACAGAAGCCGCCGGCTCACGGCTGCCAATGCGGCTCGAGGCTCCCTCCAAGGAGGGCTTCGCCGGGGCGCGAGGGTCGGACCGAACGAAAGGGGGGTGTAGGGAAAGGGGGGATTACGAAATCTGCTGCATGCAGCTGGTTTCCGCCCCGCCGCCGGGCCCATTCCTCGATGCATAGCCGCCTCCAGCGCCGGGAGGCACCGGGCAAATCAGCTGCATGAGCTGATTCTCAAGCCCCCCCTTTGCTATCCCCCCCTTTCGCCCGGCCCGAAAAGCGCTGCGGTCTCCATTCCCCCTCATCTTCTCCTTTTCCCTCTCGCCTCCTGCCTGCTGCCTCCCACTCGCCCCGCACCCCGGGGGCAGCCCTCGAAAGCTGCGAACCGCAGAACCGTCGCTACTTCTGTTGAGGGTGGCTGGGGGTCGGACGGGGCCAGGACGAGGACAAATCCGTTCCTGGGCGTTCCGGAACGCTCTCAGAGCGTCCCAGAATGATCCGAGGAGGCCGCGGCTCCCGAGACATGTTCCAGAGCCGCGGCATCTCAGAGATTCTCGATTTGTCCACCCCCGAATTTATCCTCGTCCTGGCTTCGTCTGAGAGGGAGCCCGCAGAGTGGGCACCGAGCGGGGATTCAGACCTCGCCAGCGCGCTCTATTTCCCAACCATTTTGTGGTGTTGGGTCCTGGTGTTGAGCAGACGGTCCCCGCGTTCCTCCTCCTTCCTCCCTCCCCCTCCTCCCCCTCCCTCCTCCTTCCTCCCTCCCCCTCCCCCCCCTCCTCCCTGCTCCCTCCTCCCTCCCCCTCCTCCCCCTCCTCCTTGCGTTTCACCCACCCAGTACAGCGCTTCGTGGCCCCATAGGGAGCTCCAGCGAAGGCCCCAGTGGGACCGCCTGCATGCGTCCCCCACACACATGCCCAATTTGGCACACCCCTCACACGTTTCGTGGCCCCACAGGGAGCTCCACCGAAGGCAGCAGTGCCACCGTCCGCATGCGTCCCAGAAACCCAATTTGGCATTTTCACCCACCCAGTAAAGCGCTTCGTGGCCCCATAGGGAGCTCCACCGAAGCCCCAAATGGGACCATAGGGAGCTCCACCGAAGGCACCAGTGCCACCGTCCGCATGCGTCCCAGAAACCCAATTTGGCATTTTCACCCACCCAGTACAGCGCTTCGTGGCCCCATAGGGAGTACCACCGAAGCCCCCAATGGGACCGCCCGCGTGCGTCCCGAAAACCAATTTTGGCAATTTCACCCCCCTGGTACAGCATTTCGTGGCCCCATAGGGAGCTCTACCGAAGGCCCCAGTGCCACTGTCCGCATGCGTCCCAGAAACCCAATTTGGCATTTTCACCCACCCAGTAAAGCGCTTCGTGGCCCCATAGGGAGCTCCACCGAAGCCCCCAATGGGACTGTCCGCATGCGTCCCGAAAACTTAATGTGGTATTTTCACCCACCCAGTACAGCGCTTCGTGTCCCCATCGGGAGCTCCACTGGGTTTCTCGGGTTTCGGTGGTTTTGCCATGGGAGGCGTGACGTTCCCGCACCAAAAGTCAATGGACGTCCTGGGGTCTCAGGGTTGGGTTTCTCGTGGCTGTTTTCTTGTGGTCGAGTTCCTGTTGTATTTGGCAGCGCCAGCGATCGCAGGCGCGGGGGTCTGTACCGGCGGGGCGCGCCGGGCGCGGCGCTGGGCGTCGGTTGTCATACGAAGAGCCCCGGCTGTCGCAGAACACGTGCGACGTCTCATCTCAGCACGTTCTTTGTGGCCACCCCGTGTGCCGTGCACCTTCTCGGCGTCGCTGCGGGGCACAGGCCCCGCGGGCGGGGGCCCTCGTCCTCCGCTCTCCTGTCCGCGGCGTCCACCCCCCGCGAGCTGGCCGGGGCTCCGCGCCGCGGGCGCTCTTGCGCGGTGCACGCCGCCTCGGCCGCGCTCCGCCGCGAGGCAGCCGAAAGTTGCTTCGGCGGTCCCTGGCTGCGCCATAGGCGCCGTCGGTCGATTCGTTGCTGCGGCGCACGGCCTCAGCTCCGGCCAACGAGCTGGGCCAGTTGAGGGCGTGTGCCCAAGTGACACGGGAGCCCGTCCGAATTGCGCGCGCCCACTTTCTCTCTCTCTCTCTCTCGCTCGCTCTGTCTGGCTCTCTCTCTCTCTCTGTCTATCTCTCTTCCCCTCTGCCTCTCTCTCTCTCTTGCTTCCCCTTTCCGACTATATGTTCCCCAAACAGTGTTTTTTTCATTCAGGGTTTCTTACTTCGTTTCTAACGTAGCTGGGCCCCAGGGCCGCCGTCTGTCGCCGCCGTCCGTCACCGCCGTAACTGCGCCCTGGTGCCGCCCCGGCCGGCTTGTGGACGCCCGTCGCCGCTCGTCGCCGCCGTCCGTCGCCGCCCTCGCCGCCCGTGTCCACCGTCCGTCGCCGCCACTTGCGCCAAGTTGTTCTGCATGGCTCTGCAGCGCTTTGCATAGCTTTGCACTCCTTTGCATTGCTTTGCATCGCTTTGCATTGCTTTGCATTTCTTTGCATTGCTTGCTTTGAATTGTGCTGCATCGGCTTGCATTGCTTTGCATTGCTTTGCATTGCTTTGCTTTGCATAGTTTTGCATCGCTTTGCATCGCGTTGCATTGCTTTGCATCGCTTTGAATACCTTTGCATCGGTTTGCATGGCTATGCCGTATGTTGCAGTGCATTGCCGTGCATTGTTGTGCTCTGTTGTGCGTTGCATTGCATGGCCTTGCATTGCTTTGCATTGTTTTGCATTGCATTGTATTGCTGTAGTTCCCCAAACAGCGCAAGCTTAGGGGTTTTTACTTGGTCTAAACATCTGGCCATGCCTGCAGGCGTTTCGCCCCAGTGCCGCCCCCGTGCCGCCCCGTGCCGCCCCCGTGCCGCCCCGTGCCGCCCCCGTGCCGCCCCGTGCCGCCCCCGTGCCGTCCCCGTGCCGCCCCCGTGCCGTCCTCGTGCCGCCCCGTGCCGTCCCCGTGCCGCCCGTGTTGCTGTTCAGTGCTTTGATTTGCATTGCTTCGCATTGCATTGCATTGCATTGCATTATTGCATTGTTGTGCTTCTCTTTGCATTGCTTTGCATTACTTTCCATTGTTCTGCCTTGCTGTGAATTGCTTTGCATTACTTTGCATTGCTTTGCATTGCTTTGCAACACTTTGCATTGCAGTTATTTGTGTTGCTTTGCTTCGGTTTGCATTGCTTTGCATTGCAGTGGTTTGCCTTGCATCGCTTTGCTTTACGTTAAGCTGCTTTGCATTGTTTTGCATGGTTAGGCTTTGCATTGCATTGCTTTGCATTGCTTTGCATTGCATTGCTTTGCATTGCATTGCATTGCATTGCATTGCTTTGCATGGCTAGGCTTTGCATTGCTTTGCATTGCTTTGCATTGCTCTGCATTGCTCTGCATTGCTCTGCATTGCTCTGCATTGCTTTGCATCGCTTCGGACTGCATTTTTTGCATTGCTTTGCATGGCTAGGCTTTTCATTGTTTTGCATTGCATTGCTTTGCATTGCGTTGTATTGATTTGTATTGCTTTGCTTCCGGTCGTGCCCGTGCCGCATTGCTTTGCTTTGCTTTGCTTTGCATTGCTTTACACTGCTTTACACTGCTTTACATTGCGATGCACTGCATTGCATTGCGCTTCATGGCTTTGCATTATTTAGCAGTGCATTTGTTGCAGTGCTTTCCTTTGCTTTGCTTTGCAATGCTTTGCTTTGCATCTCTTTGCATTGCTTTGCTTGGCTTTGCTTTGCTGTGCATTGCTTTGCATTGTTTTTCGTTGCATTGCTTCGTTTTGCTTTGCAGTGTGTTGCATTTCGTTGCATTGGTTTGCTTTGCACTGCTTTGCTTTGCATTGCTCCGTATTGCTTTAAATTGCTTGCCACCTAGATGGTGCCACATATATTGCCAAACCACGTATATTGCACCACAGACCTTGCACCACGT